ACAGAATTTCAGTGACGTATCATGGCTCTCAACAGGAAGGTTATTCCTMGGTTTTCCTAAATCTAACCCCACCACCCTTCACAAAGCTCAGAATCACTCACAGGCAGGGTGGAATTGTCCTGCCTGTCCGATTCGATCCTTACATTGCCTGTTTTTTTTGTTAATATGCCCTCTCAGCTTCTAGCACACAGAATGTGAGTGACTTTGTGAGCCGGAGGTTTTCACTTGACCACTGCACTTAACAGTCATCAATGATGCTATACTGATTAAGTTTGTCTAATCTTCTTTTTGGAATCAATCATTTTTTTTTTCATCATCTATCAACCTGCTCCCAATACTCATTTATTTTCCCAGCTAATGAACTCAAATGTATTTCATCTCTCCTTAAATGACCATTATAATGCCTGCAATAGATCAGACCAAAGGCCCACGTAGCACAAAAAGGAGAAGCATAAGAAAAAGGCAAACATACAGTAAGAATCCTTTGCAAAGAAGCAAAACTTTCTTTGCTTCCAGTAATCTGAACCAGGGGAACTGCCTGGACCTGAGGCAGTATCTTGTGTTTCAAAGCTGCTAATGTGTTGGCATTCCAGGATTTTGCCATTTTGTATTTCCGAGGTATCTTGGTTATCCAACACTGAATCTTATAAAATTCTGCAATATGGATTTTGAGGTCCTCAGAACCGAATGCGGTGCTGAGGTGGTGCTCCACAGCTGCAATCAGTACTGTGACACGCTTTATGCTTTGCTTCTCTTTGCTTTTTTTTTTTAATACTTTTGTTTTTAGTCCTACTAACCTTCTGAGTGCTGAATTCATGTTGGGAGAACGACTCACAGTAACTCCTAGACTTTTTCCTAATAKTTTTACTTCTCAGCCTTGCCATTCTGTCAAGAGAGGGCAGGGAAAATCTTTCATGGTTTTGTGAGAATTTTCTTTTTTTCAGAATAAGACACACAGTATAAAGCAGTGTGTCTATTCTGAGACCAGGATCTTGGAAAATACTCAAGAAAAGCTGCACAAGGTTTCTATTTTAGTAGTATTCTGATTATGGCACTATAAAAATGAATATATATAAAAAAATCAACAGAGTAAGCCAAATCATTATATCATAACAGAAGAAGTCAGAGCTCCTCTTTTCTGTTGCTAGCATGTTCTCTAGATTGACTGTATAATTTTGGTAGAGCACCTTAATTATGTACTTTTATTTTCTAAATCTMTTTTATTAAAAAAAAACTTGTTACAGTGTTTTGAAGTTAAATAATATAAATTATTCCCAAATTTAGAGCCTTATTGAGCCTGATGTTTAAACTCATATTTGCTTAAAGACTTTCTATTCGATYTCTATTAGAAATTCTGACATGCCGTCCCAGCTTCTTCAGATCTTCACACTCTCAYGTTAGTAAGTTTAAAAAATTCATATGTATTTCTACACTTTCTGGAACTATTAGTTTTTTTTTTCTGCTTCTGTAGACATGATAATGCAGATCATGTGAAGCCTCTATTTGCTGTGATTTTGTCCCTGCTCATATTTCCTTGGGCTTCTGAGGTGCAGAGTCACATTCCCCCTGTGTGGGAGAGTTGATTAGAACATTGGCAACAACAAGCAAATCTTCAGTTTTCAGTCTTGTTTGAAAAACTTCTCCTGTCTAGCGGCCYGGGGATTGCTTAGTCTTCAGTGAGTCAAAATTTGGAAAAAAACGGTGACTCTGACAGGCAGCAACCCTGCATTTTCAGCAAGGCTGCCAGACTAACACAAAAATCACACTTGCAATCTGCAAGCCTGTCATTTTCTATTTTCTTTGGTGGGGTTCTTCAGACTTCCTACATCAGCACAATCAACAAAGGATAGGGYATTATCTATTAAAAATGTCACACTCAGATGAACTTCGCTTTTGACTACGTTAGAAATTATGATCCTAAAATAGATTCAAAACCTTTGGGGAATGGTAGAAATACTATCTGAATAACCAGGGAATACAATTTCTTGAAACRAGATCAGTGTCGACTTGGTTTTCAATACTGGAAATTCCCCAAACGAGACTAATATAATCTGATTTTTTTCCCCTCCCAACTTGAGGCAGGATCCTGCCCTGTGTTACAACTTCAAAGAGCTGAAAACGTGCCCATCACATTTTTTTTAGCATGAATTGCTAAATCTTTTGCAATCTTCAAGTGAAAAGGCACTCTTGACCTGGGATGACCCTAGGACTCCTAGGTTAATTTTATGCTTAAAATGGCTTTTATGTGACCAGCTTAAGGGCCCAGAAACTGGCAGCAGGGTTATGTCATGACGGAATGACTAGGAGTTCTGAGTTTTACTGCACTGTATCAGTCAAACTTGTATTTTTTAGTAGAGTAATAAACAGYCAGATTTATTTCTCAACGAATTATTAAACAGACACAAACCTCCTAGAGGTAAAATAATCCAAAGTATACACTTTCTAAAGTATACTCTAGTTGCTGAAGCAATGAATTGCTAGATAAAAGTAAACAGTTTTATTTAACTATTTCTGTAAAATGATAAGGTCATTGTGGATTCAGCTAAGGCATGCATTTAAGACTTAACAGCATACTTACTACATGAAATATTCAGAATAAACTCTTTGCAGGGTTTGCAAATACCATAAGGTGTATCTAGAATGATCAAATGAAAGGGTGGCCTATTTAATGAGGGGAATGAGAGCAGAGTGGCTTGTTTAGTCCTGCAAAATAAAGGCTGTGAGGGAACGAGATTGCTGTCTATAAATACATCTGGCAGGGAATGCACACAGGAGAGCAAGGCTACTTAAGGACAGTGTTTGCACAAGAGAAAAAAAAGAGATACAGACTGGTCACAACAAAATGCAGGTTGGGAATTAAAGAAAAAGGCTTCCATTGTTGGAGAGGTTTCCTTTGGACAGCCTCCYTCCCAGGAGTCAAATGCTGACAGGGCACTATCAGTGTATGGAAGAGGTGGTAACAGGGCTAATTGCAGCCCTTGGGAGGTGGGAAGGGGTGTAGGCTGGTTCGGAGCGGAGCTGCCCTGACTTACAAACGTCACCTGGCTCAGCTCCCACCATGGGGCACGCGCTTCGGTCGCCCTCTTTCACTGCTGCTGCAGACGCACAAGCGGATAGAGACACTCTGGTCATTCCATGGTGGAAATGGAAGAGGAGAAAGCAAAGCTGTGAGAGATGAGAGTTCAAAGCAAAAGCACGCAGTTTTGGTCAAAGATGGCAAATGGAACTCTATACTTTACAGCTACCAACAGTCAAGATACTCCATACTCCTTGTAATCTTTAAGACTAGATTACTACATCTAGGTAACACAACCTGCAACGTGCATGTGCTTGCCTTTTTAGGTCTATGTTCCTTCCTTCTCACTGCAGGACTTGATTTAGGAAGTGACTAAAGACTTCAGAACTTTCTAAAAATTCAGATGCTTTAATTTTAGTAAATATGTTTAATGTTGATGAGGAAAGATAAATGGTGCTCTAAGGTGTTCAGAAAATTTGCCAGCTCGTGACCAGGGCTTGTTCAGAAAGATCCACATCTGCAACTGCACACGTGTAGTTCTCTGGAAGATACTACTTGGACAAAGGAATAATGAAGTTTTTTTTTGAGAATAATGATTAATGATTCTCAATCATTATTTGAGAATAATGATTGTCAGTGAAGTCAAATCACCTTTCATCTCCTGCGAGACACCATCTCACTGCAATGATTATAAACCTTTTGCGAGTGAAAATAAACTCCTGGTTAGGACCTCACGACTTTGCTATGCGCTAGAATCTTACTGTGCAGCTGACACCTCTCTTTGCTTTATCAGCAATGGCAACTTCTCAACAGCTGGTTGAGAACAGCCCTCCCATGCAAGGTGTGTTCCACGTGGGAATAACTTTGTTTGGCCAACCACCTAAGGCTGGCTGTGCAGGTGGCAAATGGAGATGGTTTCCTAACGTGCACAGCCTCCATCCTTTGCTTCCTTGCCTTTCTCTAGCTGCATTCACTTGTTCTGCTTGTTATACACMGAGCACAAAGTCAGGACTACTTGCTGGTAGGGCTGAATATCACTTAGGTGCTTATTAGTTCTCCGTGGTGCTTCCGTAACACAGATGGGCTTGCACAGCGGAATCTCCTTCTCACAAAGGAAACCCTGAGGGAGAAAAATGCATTAAAGCGGAACTTCTAAACACCTAAATGAACTCAAAATGTCTCAAACGAAATGTCCAAGACAGTACCATATTACAAATCCACCTTTAGGGCTGAAGAGATAAAACTTTTTAGTCAGGCCGCGGCAACAGCCGTTTCAGGCTGCAGGAGCAGCTCCCGCTCCGGGCGCCGCTCCGGGCTCGGTGGCCGCCCCAGGGCCGGTACCGGTAGCGATCCCGATACCGACACCACGGGGACCCGGCCCAGGCCGGTGGTGCCGCCGCTAGGGAGCTGCCGCCCGCGGCGGGGGCGGGGCCCCGCCGGCCAATCAGGGAGCGGCATGGCGCCCGGGGGCGGGAGCAGCCCGTGAGTGGCAGCCGGCGGGATAAACAAGCGCCGCGCGCCCGGTGCGCGCTGCCGGTGGCGGCGGCTGCGGCGCGGGGAGGCTCCGCGCGCGGCCGCCCCCGCCCCCGCCCGGCAACACCAAGAGTCAGCAAGTTCCCAGCGGCCGCGGAAACGCTCTGCGTCTCCGGGGGCTCTAGTGCGCAGGCACGGCCTGGCCGGGGCCGGCGCGGAGCACGCCGGGAGCTGTAGTCCTGGCGCCGCCGTGTCCCGCCCGCGGCGCCGGGGCCGGCGCGGGCAGCCGCACTACGACTCCCGGCAGCCCCCGCGCCGCGCCGCCAGGAGCCCAGTTGAAGCGGGTGGCGGCGGCGCTCACCCCCCTCCCCCCCCCCCCGAAAAGCCCCAAACCAAAACAAAAACAAACCGCCCCCCCCCCTCCGCTGCGACCCCCCCGGAGATGGCGGTGCCGGGAGGGGGCTGCGGGCGCCGGGGGTGCTGATCCGCCCGCCGCGTCCCTCCCCGCCCATGGGCGAGACATGGACTACGAGTTCAAATCCAAGCTGGCGGCCGAGCGCGAGCGGGTGGAGGATCTGTTCGAGTACGAGGGCTGCAAAGTGGGCAGAGGCACCTACGGGCACGTCTACAAGGCCCGCCGCAAGGACGGGTAAGGGCCGCGCCGGGCCCGCGGCCGCCGCCGCCACCCGCACCCCCCGCTCTGCTCCCCCGCCCCGACCAACGGTCCCGGCCAACGGTCCCGGCCAACGGCTCCCCCCCACACCAAAAACACCCGGGTTTGGGGGCAGAGCTGGCCCCAGCCTGCTTGTAGTCCTTATATATATATGTGTGTGTGTGTATATATATATATGTGTGTATGTGAAGTGCATGTATATGTGTGTGTTTGTGTGTACATATATGTGTATATATATATGTATTATTTTTAAGCTGCAGGCAGTGCCAGGTGCGGCTGGTGTCGAGGAGGGCCAGGGGAAAGGCGTCCCGGCCCTGCCTTGCCCCGCTTCCCGCTGCTCTGCCTCATCCCGCTGTTCTTGCCCTCCCCGGCTGCGGAAAGCGMCGGTGTCTCCGCGGGCCTGGCGGCCTCGCGAAGCAGCCAGCGCGCGGCCCTGGCACGTGCGGCCTGACGCTTGGTTTGTTTAGTTGCATTTGGTTTCATTTCACTTTATTTTATTTTGTTTTATTGCATTTTTTTTTTCACGCCGTGTCCCTGCTCAGCCCATCCATGTGTCCGCGCTCCCGTTCGGGAGCAGCGAGGCCCTGGCTTTGGTGGCACATGCGGCCACGTGTTGTGGCCTGAGGCGYCCTGAGCGCCATCCCCAGTGGCTCCCTGCGCATTCCCCGTGTCCCAGCCCTTGCTCCCATGGGCTGCTTTTGCCACAGGAGGCCGCAGGGATGTGTGAAGGTGCCCTCCCTTCCTTCACATGGGAGCTGCTTGTGCCTGGAGGGGTCCCTTGGGCACGGAGCCCACGCGGTGTCACCTAGACCCAAGGAAAGCTCTTGGGTTGCTTTCCTGATGGGAGGGCAGCTGGCGGGACAGACGCCCCATGGATGCCATTTTCCCTGCACCGTGGGTTGGGAGAGCGATGGATAACTCAGGGTTGCTCCACGGGTATGTGGTCACTGAAGAGCAATGCTTAGGTTTAAATAGGGTGCAGGTGCAGGGGCTGAATGTAACCCTTCTTGCTAGGAAAAAAAGGGGCCATTAAGCACTTTTTCAATGTGGCAYGTGAACAGCAAACACGCCTAGACTCCTTGTGGAGGAATAAATAGAGCATGCAGTAAAGTTATAAGGAATATAATTACAAATCTGAGCTTGCTAATAGCAAGCTGAAAAGTAGTTCTGTTGTATGCAGRCAATTGGGACTTTGAAAAAGAAGTGACTGGATATGGGAAAAACATGAAACTTTTTTTTTTTTTCCTTTTTTTTTTTTTTTTCCTTTCAAGTTCTGGGAGCAGTTCATGGAATGCCGCTTTTCATTAACAGAGAGATCCGGGGTGTTTCTGGTAGGAGTAAAATTGCATTCCCGTGTGTCTCGAAAGCGTCAGCTCCGAGTTAAGAGGATGCAGCAGGAAAGCGATTAATGACGGGAAGGCGGCGCGTGAAGTCAGGTGGAGGACTGAGCAGCGCGAAACCCGAGCCCTGCTGCTGGCTGCAGCTTGCTCGGCAAGTCTGAGCATCATAAAGCCTGGTTTAACTTTAAAAAGGAACTTTAAAACCCTTTTGGATATTACAGCTGCCTCTGAGCTCCCTTAATTGTGTTTATGGGCTTAGTAGTTGTTTTTTTTTTAATAAATAAGGATTTTGTTATTTATGCGTAAGGTTATATGGGAGGAAGCTATAGAGTACTATAATGCTGATAAAGTGTTTTCTGATGTTCTTTGTTATAGTAACCTTCCAATTAGTAAGAACAGCATAAAAAGGATGCAATTGGTAAGAACAGTATAAAAAGGAACTTTTGAGTTTATTGTTTTGTAAAATAAGTTGTTTGATGTCTGTCTGTAGCTTGCTTGCTGCATTTCTTTCACGGGTAACAGAACTGATTCTGAGACAGAATTGCTTTCTAATATTGCTGTTAGAAAGTGCCATAGGGACATGCCTTGAAAGTCCGTGTAATAATGCTACCGCTGGAAATGTAAGTGGGAAGCGAAAGTAAACATGGCAAAAGGGTAGCTCATGCGTCAGGARCGGAGATAATCTAAAGGAGACCTTGAACTGCAGGAAAACTACTGTTGRTAAAAGGTAGTGGAAAGTTTCAGTGGGCAATCAGTTGGATTGCAGCGCAGTATGATGTGATGACACAGATACAGGCTGCACATCAGTGGTTTTACTTTATGAAGCATGGAAATGGGTTAATCCTCCTTTTTTGTTGTTCTTTTTATAACATCAGTGAGTCCAACTCAATTGCTTTGCTGCAACTTCAGGGAGTTTGTTATATATAAGGTATGAACAAGTTGGCAAAATTTGGAGAGTCTCAGTCATTAGAGTGGAGTTCCCTATGCAAAAAGTTAGCTGAAGTCAGTCCCCAGAGGGAGGATCTTCAGCCTCAGCTCTTCCCTGGGGTCCTTAATGGCAGAGGGAGGCTGTTTTCCAGCACTGGCGATAGGAATTCAGCAGTGATGCATATTTATATTGCAGTGATCACTGGGGGATTTTGAGACTCCTGCAAAGGAATTATCCTCTTGCAGATCATAGAGACTCTTTCCATATTTCAAATTTGCAAAGCATTCTTGTGTAATCAAGAAAGATTCTGGCTACTTGCTGCTTACAGTCAGTTTGCAGCCTCCAGAGGCTGAGGGCAATGAGAACCTTTTAGCTCTGCACAATTTCCACAGAGAGCCTGTCACTTCATGTTTCAAAAACTTGGCATGTCAACTTTATGAAATAGTAAAATGTGTTTATATGGAGCTTGGCAAGCTGTTTGATAAAACGCTTGTAAAAAAAAAAGTGGTTGCGTTGCCTAGGTCTTGGTGAATGGCTTGGGCATAAAAGCAATTTTTAGGCATAGTAACAACTTAGTTTGGCTTGTTCAGCCTTGAGCAGAGTGTCATTGGGGTGTGTTTCTAGGGAGCTGATTGATTTCTGTGGAAGTTAAGTTCTAAAAGCTTTTTTTTTTTTTTTCCTTTTCTTACTAGGCAGTCAGGTTTGAACAATGCTGGTCTGACATTTGCATCCACCAAATAAGCATTTTTTAAAGATGTTGAGCACCTGCAGTTCCTGCTTTCTTTGGTAGTGTTTGTGTGGTCTGATGAGGTCTAGGAGTGTTGYCTTCCTTCTGCATCTGGCTAAATCAGGCACCTGGGTTTGGAAATCTTTTATTAATATCTCTGTAGTCCAGAAAATAGGCTAAAAAATAGGCTTTTATATATGGTGTTTTATTTCAACATACACAAGCGGGACCAAAGGCTTTGAAGGGCAAAATAGCAATGGAGAGAGAAACCTCATAGTTGCAATTTAGTTGTCAATAGTAAGCATTTAGTCCTTTATGTAGCTGGAAAATCTGTTATGATTTTTATGTGTACACAGTGCCTCAAAACATCTTGTTGACTTTGCAAACTTTTTTTTTTGATCACCTTTGTCTAATTAATCTCGGTATGCAATTTTCCTAGTTGCATTTGGGAAAATGTGCTTAGTTTCGTGTCTTGCCTCTCCTCGTTACATTCCTTGCCCTGTTGTGGATTGTGCCACAACAGGGTACTTGGTTTTGGTTGACTTTGCACCTCTTTATGGGTACGATGGGAGGCAATTTTCAGGCTGAAGTGAGGGTTGGAATCTCTATTTTCTGTCGTCTGTTCCTGACTTCCTTCCTTTCTCCRTTCAGGAGAGATCAATCAATCAGCTCAGGCCATAAATGAGTATTTCCATTTTCATCATGGTGCTTGCTTACCTGTAGGAAGATGTTGGGACTAGTCAGCATGCTGAAGACATGAGGAACATGCAGGGAATAGCGGGATTCCTAAGTTTAATGGGAAACGGGCTGCTTGGCTCCTAGTTCTGCAGCACCAGTAGCAGATGCAAGACTTGTAAAAGCTGGTGTTGATCCTGCCCACGTGGTGTGAATTAAGGCTTTCTAAGTTGCTGCTGCTTCTGCCTACCTTTAAACAAGCAGAGCGGAGCAGGATGCTTTCCTGCCCACCGCTCTGTAGCTGCCTGGTTCCTCCTTGGCTCATCACCTGTGCTTGCTCAGCAGAGGTTATTAAAGTAACATTACAAACTGGTTAATAGGGTGCGTGAGTTGAACGGATAGCGTAGATTTAGGTGATTTTTTAAGTGATTTTTTTTGTTTTCATAGATGAGAGTGATGTCTTGCTGTTCTCTCCCCACCCCAGCTGAGGAGACCCATAAGCCTGTACCTGGAGAGGAGTCTGTTCTGCTCTGTGTGACAAACGTTGTTGAGCAAAAGCCTTAATGTGAAGATCTKAATGCGAGTCCGAAGCGCTCACAGCCCCCACGTCTGCAGAAGAGTCGAGGGAGAGCTAGGAAGAGGGCTAGGAGGAGAAAGACTGATGAATTGTATTCTTTAAAGCAGGGATATTCCTGAAGATAAAGGATAGTGATAACGGGAAAACCAGAATGCTGTCAAGCACAACTTGGAAAATGGGATTTTCTACGGGTGAGGCTCACTGTGGCCGGGGCTTCTGCTGGTCTAGTTGTGCTGTTCAGAGGTTGCATCTAGTGGCATTTGTGATTGAAATCACTGCGATGGTAGAAACGTAGCCCAYGCCTGTGCTACCCATAGGTGGTTTATTCTGCTAAAGAGCAGCTGTGAGAGCGTAGCAATAGCTTGTGTGCAGCTCTCCCCAGGCGGTGGTTGTTCAGCGCTGAAATTTCTCAGGTAACGTAGCACATGTATGTGAGGACATGAGAAAACTAAACTTGCATTTGAGGCCACTTAACATTGCAGACCAACTTGGGCAAAGTGGTGCATGAAAGCATGGGGAAATGAGKGTGGGCCCTGCAAGGTTTGTCTGCTTCTTGGTATCTTCACGATAGCAGAACCCTCTGCAGTCCTGCAAGTGTAGAGCACTGCTCTGGAGTAAGGCTTCCTTGTGATTTTTCTTTTAAAATGGACTCATCTGCACAAGCCATGTTATCCATTTGGGTCAAAAATACAATTTTAACCACGTTCATATATGTTGTGAACCTCCCAT